TTGCAGAGAGCGAGAGGCACGGGACAAGCAGACAGCGGAGATCGAGGCAAGGACCAAGAGGCTCCGCGGGAACAAGGACCTCTTCCCGGGCTTCCCCACGGTGCCCGACGCTGTGGCGTGGCTAGAGCAGTTCAAGGCCCGTTGCGGCGCGCAAGCCAGACAGTACCATTGCCGCCCGCCCTTCTGCGGGCAGCTGCGGCGCCTTCCGGGGCGTCTTCGGCGCGACCGTGGAAGGGGCGGGGGTAAGGGCGTTGTCCAGAGTTTGCGCTGGCGCGCCCACAGGTGGACAACTCACGGTACCCTGTCTTGGTGGTCCTCGGCAGGTCGCACACAGGGAAGACGGAATGGGCCCAGACCTTGTTCCAGAACCCTTTGGTGGTGAAGGTGGGCAAGCTCGAACATTTCCCAGAGTCGATGAGGGCCTTCGACAGGGAGAAGCACGACGGGCTGGTCCTCGACGACCTGAGGGACTTGCAGTTCTTGGTGGACCACCAGGACAAGGTCCAAGGCAAGTACAACTCGCCCGTCGAATTTGCTTCCACTCCGGGCGGCGAGTTGGCTTACTGGAAGGACTTGTTCGCAGTTCCCGTGGTCGCCACCTGCAACTACACCACGAAGAACCTCGGGTTCCTGGACACCGACGACTTCTTGGCGAACCCAGGGAACCGCACGCTGGTGCACTTCCCGCCTAACACGCAGCCAGACCAGCCACCGCCCGCACCTCCACCCGCACCGACCCGGAGCCTTAGGTACCGCACTAAGGCGCCGCCGCACCAGCCGCCAGCCGCGCTTTGACTCTCAGGGGTTGCACGAGAGAAAAGGCTTGCGCACCAGGTCGACTCCTGGATTTCTGGGCACAGTTGTGGGGGGGGCTCATGTTCTAGGAGGAACTTTGTTCGTCTGTAGGCACAACCCGCCTGGTGAGAGAGGTACCAGAAAATCGTATTTTCCCGTGGGAAAACTGCTATTCTACGTATGGGGGCTGATGCAGAAGCAGAGTGCGAGCGACGTCCAGTGATACAATTCCGTGGACTGCCGCGCCGTGCCGCGCCGTGCCGTGCCGTGCCGTGCAGGTTCGTGCTGCGACGTACCGTGCCGTGCCGTGCCGTGCGCCGTGCCGTGCCGTGCCGTGCCGTGCCGTGCCGTGCCGTGCCGTGCCGTTACGCGCGGCGCCGCGCCGCGCCGCGTGCCGGGCCGCGCTGCGCCGTGCCTTGCGAGTGCCGCGCGGCGTCGCGCCGCGCCGTGCCGCGTCGTGCCGTGCCGCGCAGTGCCGTGCGGCGCCGTGCCGCGCTATGCCATCCCGTGCCGCGCCGCGCCGCGCCGTGCCGTGCGGCGCCGTGCAGTGCTTGGCCTTGCCGCGCCGTGCCGCGCCGCGCCGTGCCGCGCCGCGCCGTGGCGTGCCGCGCAGTGCCGCGCCGTGCCGCGCTGCGGCCCCGCGCGGGGCCGCGCGGCGACGCGTCGCCGCCTCGCGGCCCTCTTCATCTCCATTGCCATTGCCGCAGCTTCCCAGGCTCAAGCCTTCCTGCCGCGCGGGCCACTGCGCGCGCGGGAGACGCGCTTTTGGCTTCCGAAATGAAAGTCAAGGTTACGGTGCGCTACGTGCGCAAGGTCCTCTCGAAGAAAGGCTTTCGCTGGTTACCCAAGAGGCAGAAGCGGTTATATTCCAAGGATCAGAGGAAAGCCCGCCTGACGTTTGCGAAGAAGGTCCTGAGGATGACTTCGGCGGAGCTGAACACGGCTTTGGCATACGCCATGGACGGCGTCATCCTTGCGATGCCCCCGAAGGACGAGACCGAGCGGATGAACTTCTGCAGGCACGGGGAAGAGTACATGTGGCGAAAGAACACGGAGGCATTCACCCCGAAGCTCTCTGGCGACGACGAGTACGGTGGCCAGGTCCCACTGGCTCGGGCAGTGCCCATGTGGGCCGGCTGCGCCGCGGGCGGGCTGTCCATTGTCGCGTTCCACCCCACGAAGAAGCTCTGCGGCGAGGACTGGGCGAAGATCGTGAACCGGGGCGACCTCGTGAAGGCCGTGAAGTCGGTGAACCCGAAGAGGAAGAAGGGCCCGTGGTCCGTCCTCTGCGACAACGAGTCTTTCTTGCGGGCGAAGGTCAGCAACGCCGCGGTGAAGGCGGCGGGGGTTAAGCTGTGGAAGATGCCAGCAAAGTCCCCTGACTTGAACCCCGCAGAGCGGTGCTGGTCTTGGCTGCGTCGGAAGCTGCGGCTCATGGACTTGGACGACGCCGTGAAGAAGCGGCCCGTGCTGGGGAAGACGGCGTACAGGGCGCGGGTTCGGAGCGTCGTGAGGAGCAAAAAGGCGCAGTCCGTGGGGGCGGCGCAGGCGAAGCTGATGAAGCGCGTCTGCAGGGAAGTGGTGCGCAAGAAGGGCGCGGCCACGGGCTTCTGAGCGGGCCAAGCCCCCGGGCCGCATTGGCGCGTTCACAGGTGGACAAGTCACCAGCGTCGGCCGTTTGCCGCGCGGGTGAGCACTCCATCTGCCCTGGCCGTTGGCCGTGCAGGTGAGAAAAGTCCGCACGGGGGGTACTATAGTTTTGACCATAAGACGTCATGCTGTCGACGCCCCCTGCCCCCCCGTAGAATCTTAGCGACATGTGTTGGGTCGGGCGGCGGTTCGACTCCGATGGGCTCTCACCCTGTAAGAATATAATAATATATATATATATATATTTAAAACAGGGTGATAATTACTCCGTCCCATTTACAATAGGGCCGGAAAACACTCCGACTTGAACCCATTCACAGTAAACCACTCCGCTTGGGTCACGTTTGATCGTCCGTGTCATCATCCCCATCGACCCTGTCCTTATCATGCCAACGCGATGTTTCATTGTATTCCTTTTTGCATTGATGCTGTGAGACCCTGGGCATCCTTCTCCAATGCGGTCGCTCTCGGTTCACTGGTTGGCCGTCCCAGAGGGCCCACAAAGGCTCGCGAATCCGCATCAAGGCACCTTTGCATCCTGATCGGTCCTCCGCGGCACGCGTGACCAGCGAGGCAATTGTCATCTTATGGTCAAAAACTTTAGTACCCCCGAAGTATTCACTATTGAATGCCATGTTCTAGATCCCTTGGAGGTCTGTGGGCCGCCTGGGGCGTTTCTAAGAATACTGCAAGTCGCCTCCATGACTTGCGACATATCTGACGAAACCTGCCCGAAGCATTCTCGTCAGCGGACCCCCAGGAAGTTGCGTGCGCACTCGCGCACCGAATCGTCTACGCCGTCAACCCGTCCCTCCGCGCCTCCTGCTGAAGCCTCCTCCCCAACCTTCCACCCTCCTCGCCGGCGTCTCTTCACCCACGCTCCCTCGAAACACTTTCCACAATCACTTTCCCCCCAAACCGTCTCCGCCTGAATTGTCCACCTGGACCTTTCTCCTCCCACTCATCGTCCCTCCTCGTCACCTCGTCTCCCTCGCCCTCGTCGTCCTCCTCCACCTCCCCCCCGTCATCCTCCACATGGTGCCACGCCCCACTGAGAATACCCAATATCACAACCATTGAAAGCGCGTTGTTAACACTGATCGCCTCCGTACTTGCCCATGCGGGCCCAAGCCGACAGCGGGGGCAGTAACCTCCAGCACGACGCTTCGATGCTGACCGACCGAAGGTCCGGTTCTGCACGACACACCGTGGGCACCAACTCACTAAATGGGGACAAGGTTGGAAATGCCGCAGTTTGCAGGATAGGTTACGTGAAGGGGGTCGGCTTGGTGGTGCTGCCGCCGGGGCAGCCAAAGCGACGCGCGGCGTCAACGACGGGAAATGCAGGGCCCTGCGAAAGAACTACCGCGCGTGGGAGATCACCGCCCTCACATTCCCCATCTTCCAACACTTGCTGGCGAAGCTCCACGAAAGACGCGAGCAACGCGCACCAAGACCACTACTTAGCAGAAGCATATTGCCAGAGTGGGTCTTGGCAGCCGCCGACATCGACCAGGCCATCCGCATAATGAACAGCACGCGCCTCGGCAACCCCGACCGCTTCAAGGACCGAGCGACCGTGGATATCCTCAGGGCCGCGCGGCGCGTCGGAAACCCCAGCGCGACGGCTGCCGCGTGCGTCGGCGCCCGGCACCGGCGGAGCCCGCGGGGCCTCGCAGCACACCTCGGGACCGTCAACTTGACTGCCATCGGGGGTGCCTTGGCCCACGCAAAGCGGGGTTTCTGGACCTACCGCCAGACCGGTCTCTCCGACAAGAAGCTGGCCATCGGCCTGTCGGCCGCCTCTGCTGCGCGCGCCGCTCGCCGCCCCTTTCCCCGACTGGGCGACGTTGGAGAACGAGAATGCGACGCAGATGCGGAAGTGTTGCCGGGGCCGCGGCCGGGGGCATTTCTCGGCAAGACAAGCGGCCGCTCTTGACCCAGGAGCCAGGGTGGGTGACTGGCCTCGGGCCTGGCTCCAGGCCAGCCGCTTCCCGCGCCGGGCCCGGGGCCCAGGCTGGCATCATGTGGCCGCGGCCGCCGACGGCGAGAAAACGCGACGCATCCCACGCTTCATGCACTGCGAAGACCAGACGGAAAAGTGCGAATACAGCAAGCTCGCGTGCCCGATGACCTTCCCCGCGGCCGCGGCCGCCGCGAGGCGCGCGCCGACGCCCGCTTAGGGCAGCAACAGCGCATCAAATTTAGCCGCGCAAGGGGGCGCGCGACGCCCACGTTCGAAACAAAATCCGCTCGCCGGTCGGCCGGCCGGTCCCGAGTTCAAAAACGAAGCCGTCGGCGCAAGCCAAAATATAGTTTGCCCGTCGTCTCGCTCTGCGCCCCTGGACATAAACACTCCGCACAAAAAAAACCCACGCCCACGACGGCCCCGCGGCGCCGGCCTGCCTGGAGGGCAGACGACCCCACCCCAGCTCCCTGGAGCAAAAAAGCAGCCGTCAACGTGAACCGGAAATTGGTTGGGCCCGCCGGGTTGCTCTTCGCCTCCAGGCACGCTCGCTCCTCGCGAAGACCCGCGCCCACTAAGGCCCCGCGGCTCAGGCCGCCGGAACGCGCCCTGCGCCCCCCGCCCCGGCCCTCATAGGAAAAAACCGTCGACGTGAACCGCAAATTGGCGCGGCCACCCGGGGTGCCCCCGCGCTTCCGGACGCGCTCCATCCCGACGGAAGCCCGCGCCCACGTCAACCCGCGGAGCAGCCCGACCGCAGCGCCCAACGTCCCTCACCCAAGCCCGGTGGCCAAAAAACAGCCGTCGACGTGTACCAAAAATGGGTTCGACCCCTGCGGTCGGTCTTCGATCATGGAGATGCTCACTGCTTCAGAAAAGTCCGCGCCCTCCTGCCCCGTGCCCCGTGGCTCGAGCAGCCCGTCGCCCCGCCAGCGCGACCAGCGCCTGACTTCCGGCACGGCCGCGCGCGCGACCACCAGCGCAACCGCCTGCGCGACCGCCAGAACGACCACCAGCGCGATAACGACCCCGGCAACCAGCAATAAAACAGCACGCTCACCGTCGCGAGCACCACCAGGACCACCCGCCCGACCGCAAGGGCGACCACCCGCACGACCACCAGCACGACCGCCCAGCAGCACTACCACCAGCACGACGACCACCATGACCAGCATCACGGCCGCCAGCGCACCCACGGGCGCGATGTCGAACACGAACGCCAGCGCGGCCACGAGCGCGACCACAAACACAGCTGCCCTCCGCGGTTCGCCCTGCGACCACAAAGTACCTAACCGCGGCGGGACATGAGATCCCCGCCCCTGCGACAAGGACGAGGGCGAGGGGCAAGATGTTGTGGCGAAGCGAAGCGAGCCAACAATACCATGTGTACATATACAAGCTTTGGGTCTCTCTTTTGACATCCAGGCCAGCAACGATATGTCGTTGCGATAGCACTTCGCCCTGGACAAAACAGGAGCACACGACTCAAAACCTTGCATTCTGGACCGGTCACACAAAATATCAAACTCCTGCAGACACTAAGGGGATCATGGCAGGGCGGGCGGGCTCCGGGAACGCTGAACCCGAACAAGAAGAAACATGCAAGCAAACGTCAAAAAGTCTGTTTACAACCACGGCTTTTCGTCAACGTGCCCGCACAAAGCTGGAGCGATGCCGTGGTGATCTACCAAGCTTTGGGCTCTCTCTGCCTCTCTCTCTCTCTCTCTCTCTCTCTCTCTCTTTTGACATCCAGGTCAGCAGCGACATGTCTTAGCGACGACACTTTGCCCTGAGCAAAACGAGAGCACACGACTCAAAACCTTGCTCTGGACCGGTCACAGAGCAGATCCAACTCCAGAAATGCCGAACGTTTTCGCTGGAGGCATCGGATCAAAAGTCACAGTACCCAAATAACTCAATTGCAGCAAAAGGCATATTTAAAACTCTGAGAGAGAACGTTATACCGGGCTTTAAGATATGGTTTGACGATTGAAGTTCGAGAGACTTCCTGGAACTTTCTGGACAGCTCAACGTGGCGGCTGCCAGAGACGAGAGCTTCGAATCAGGCCAGCACGCGCACTCCCGATTCTTTTTCTCTGACGCCACGGCGTGCCAAACATGCAGAAGTCAGTTTTCATTGAACGCGCGGGACGAAGGCGGCAGGCGGATGCCATAGCACCAAAGCAGGGCACAACCATGTTCTGCTGGTCGCTGGATTCGCTAGCGCACAGGGGATGACAAGACGAGCGCAGAGCCTGGGGGCGGAGGCTGACAGAAGTCATCGACGCGTTGCCAACTCGCACTTGTTCTGCATCCTTTGGACATAGCCCCGGCAGTTCGATCGACATGGCGTCGCTCCGCAGCCTCGGCGGGCCGCCCCCCCTGTCTCTGGCACGCGAGGAGCTAAAACATGGCGTGACCATCCAGACAGCGATCGCCCAAGACGCGGACAGCCAATCTCGAACCAGGTTTTGAATGCTCGGTGCTGTCAAATCGTACTGCTCACCATGACGAATATCCAGCTCCACGATCGGCAGCCCAATCTGGCGCCTCCAGGCCGCTGAGAAGTTTCCAGATCTGGCAAACAACTCTACAGCAAACCTGACGATAAGGAAATCGGCTTAGAGGAATGGGAGCGCCTGTTCATGATGGCGCCAATCTCGGAGGCGCAGCTGCCCGCAGCAAGCTGCACGCCGCGCGGCAGGTAGTGCAACTGCTCCGTCAGCCTTCCTGCCTTCTGGCACCGCCCGCATCGAGCTCGGCTGAGCCCAGCCTCCGCGGCGCTGCGCGCCCAGCGGGCTCCGTCGGCGCAGGCCAATGTCCAGGCTCGCCCCGGCGTGCCGCAGTCCGCGCAGCGTCGGCGGCCCTAGGCTCCAGGCCCCCTCGTCTGTACTGAGTGCGCCACTGCTGGTGCGTGAGCCCGAACACCACGCCGTCTGGCCTGCCTGCGTCGCTCCAGAGAGCCTCCAGCAGCGGGATCATGAAGTCGCGGTCCGCCATGCAGGTCGAGAGGCCGAGAATCGCCCCACTTGTTCACCTTCGACGGCTGCCCCAGCTCCATCGGGCGAAGGATCGCAGTCCACCTGGAGCGGCGCTGGCCCCCGAAGGTCAGGGGCGGGGCCAGCTGGCACCTCAGAAGCCCCAGTGCCTCGCTCGGTGTCAAGTAGAAAACCGCGCACATCAGGACAGCTGCAGCCATACTCCAGTAGCCTTCGCCCACGAGCCAGTCGCAGTGGAGGCGCACTACCTCCCAGGGCGTCGGCAGCCTCGACATGCCACGGCACTTCAGACTCCAGCCTCGCAGAGCCTGCCGCGCCGACGCCAGGTGGCCCCCCTTCTGCCGGCCCCACTGCGGGTTGAATTAGCGGGCCGCCGACGCCAGGCGCGAACCGAGGCTGGAATGCGCCGCCTCGAAGTACTTCGCGTTCCCCACCTGGCACTCGGAGGTGAGGGGGGGGCGGTGGTCCTTCGCCCACTCCACGAACATCCTCCAGCTCGCCAGATACAGCTGCCGGGCCCCTGGGCGCGCGCTCGCCGCCTGCAGGTAGCTCAGGTGCGCCGTCTCGGGCCCTCTCTGCGCAGCCGAGCCCTGGCGGGCAACCGCGCGGGCAGCTACGCGTCGACCTCGCGGCTGGGCCCGCCGCCGACTTGGCGCCATCGGCCCGGGTGCCGGAGCGCCGCCGCCCGCCGCCGCTTGCCGGCACTCGCCGGGGGCGAACTGCTGCTTGTGACTGTCGGCCCGCGCGGCGGCGCGGCCAGCTCCGCCTCCTGGGACTCCTGGCGCTGCCAGCCCCCTCCGCGAGGGAGCACCCGAGGGGTTCTCCTCGCTGGAGATCCACCGCAAGTGAATCGAGCAGCCAGAGACCAGCGCCAACGCAGCCCAGCGACGAACCACTCGCAACATGCAAGGGGCTGAGGTTCGCCTCTTGCTCAGAGCCAAGACAGCGAACATCGAATCACTGAGAACGAGTCGGCGCTTGTGCCAGTTCTGCTGATTCCTGAGCATATGACGGAGCCCCCAAGGCAGCTCGCTTCTCCTAGATTAAGACATTCTCAACCTTGAGACTTCGCCACCTTCCAGGGCCCATCGATCAACGAACGAGCAGCGAGGTCCACGCCTCGCTCCAGGCACACACGCCCGCCCACCTCCTGCGTCATCTTCACCTCCTTCACCTCCTCCCCCGTGGTCTGCATATCCTCGATCCGCCCCCCGGGCCTGCTCGCGGGACCCCTCGCCGCCCTTCTTGAACCTCCGCGCCCCGAAAAGCTCGCGGCGCGCTCGACGTCGGCCTCGAGGCCTTCAGTCTCCATCGCCCCGAGACCCCACTCAGGAGCGTCAGTTGCCAACGCGCGGGTGCAAACAGGAGCGAACAGGTCCCTCGAGCAGAAGCAGATCAGGTCCGAGGCCCGCTGGAGTTCTCGTCTAACAGCATCCTAAACCCACGCTGCCCCCGCGATGCCGAGCAATAAAAGCATAACCACTATTCAGGACAGACAAGAGCTCCCGATGAAGGAGAAACAGATGATCATTGTGCCCAACCAAGACCTCCACCTGCTTGCCACTCAACGAATGCATGCGCGAAGCGTGCTGAAGTGCAAGTCGGAGTCGCCACGCCCATCTGGCTGTTTCCCTTCACCGTCGGGCGGTCGCTCGAGAACATCAAGCCGAGGGCCCCGCCTCCAGGCCCGGCCTCCACGGGGCGCGAGCAAAGGCCTCTGCGCTCGAGCTCGCTCGCATCTCCTTCGGCCGCCGAACGAACCTTTGCAGCGCTTTGCGAGACTGCAACAAAGTTGCCCACGTATGCACCATAAGCAACTGGGCGCAGACCAGGAGGAGATCGGCGGCCCTGAACTCTGCTGTCGTTTCCGAGCCCGGGGACACGATCACAGGCCGCCTCGAGAACTCTCTGACACATATTAGTGCGCGCGTCCATCCCATCGCCAATGCCTCCAGTCTAGGTTGGATCCAAGTACCAGGAGAAACCAGAGCCCCCTCGACTGTCTAGGCAACGCCCACTCACCCAGCTCTCACTCTTTGGAGGCCGAAGTAAGGCCCCAAGACCTCTGGCATCACCATCTGGTAGAAAGCGCACTGGACGTCGGTTTGGCCCAACTCAAGAGCCAGGTCGGCCGCGGCAAAAAGGCGTGGGGACAAATCTCCAAAGGCCAGTCGGGTTTTTGGCGGGCCCCTAAACCAGCAATTCGACCGACGCGCATCCATGATTAAACGCTGAGTTCGGTTATTCTTTCAAGCCTGAAGAAGACCGCGCTGCCCCATGAGCTCTAATTGAACTAAAGACCGGACGAGACGCTCATACTCGCGAGGGCGACGGAGGAGAACATCGAGGAAAGAGCGATCGGTGGCGCGCGCCGAACTCAAACGCTCGCCCGCTGAATCCTTTGACAAGAGGTAGTCTTCAACGACCCCCCCGACTTCGGCGCGACCTGTCTCCGCGAGGCCCCGAGGGGCATAGCTGCCGGAGGCCCGGAGTTACCAGGAGCCCCCCCGACCCGCGGGGCCAGCGCGGGGCTCCCCGCGCTGCGAGATGCACGTCCGAACGTGCGACTCACCGAGATTGCACAGGAGGTCTGACTTGCTCTGGCGAGGTCTCCCCGGCGTCTGCGCCGGCATAGCCCCCGAGCTCAAGGGGCGCCCGAGCCGCGCCGGACTCCCAGCTTGAGCGGTGCCCCCTCGCCTCCACGCGCCGTCGGACTGACCGCGACAGCAAGGGCAGGCTACCGCCGCGGGACTCGCGACCAGGCGCTCCCAGGGGCAGCGCGTCACGCTGAGCAGCAAAAACCGCGCGGGCACGATGCTCACCGCGCTCCCCCTCATGGCCAGCAGGGTGGGGTCGTCCTCTGGCCCTGGCTTGTGACGCGCCATCCTTGCGCGAGAGTCTGGCATCCTCCCGCTCTTTCTTCATCTGCTTTGCCGCGTCGGCGTCTCGGCCGATCTCCTTCGATGCTCGCTCCACCTGCTGGGGGCAGATCATCGCCTCCCCTGCCGTGCGGTGCGACCCTGGGAATGGGCCGCCTCCTCCCTGCTGACCCCTTGGGTCTGGTCGTTCTGCTTGCCGCCCTTGCCCTTCGTCTTGCAGTGGAACTCGATGACCTGGCAGCGTCGCAGGATCGCCTCCAGCCCCCCAAGTTCGGGAAGTCCACCTGGTCGTACTCCCTGAAGAACTGGAAAGCCCGCATCCCGCGCTCGTGCTCCTGCGCGCCGAAGTCCGCCGGCGTCAGCTTGAGATGCGACGCCCACCAGCGGCGGTGGCCCATGGGACCCCTCCCCGCCGATCCACGAACTGCGCGCGCCAAAGCACTTCCTGTGCGCGGCCAGGGCATGGGCCAGTCCTTGACGTCCACCTCCTGGATCCTGAGCACCGCGTCGCGCCGCAAACGCTGCCTGACCCCCTGCCCGTTGAACTGAACGCTCGGCGCGCGGGCGTCGGAGCTCGCAGGCGGAAGCGCCCGAAGAGCGGCGCGCTCCTCGGGCGTCCTGTCGGGGCCGAAGCGCCCCACGAATATTCACTCTCCAGATCGCGGTGCCGGGGCGAGGGCACGGCGGCCATCGGGGGGCACCATCGAATCCACCGCCATGCGGACCTCATCGCACACAGCGAGCCCTAGAGCGCTGTCTGCGGTGGCGGCCACCAAGCGCCACTCGGGCGTCGTGGGGCCGCGGGCCGCGCGCTCGCTGCCCCGCGGGGTCGCCTTGCCTCCTCGCAGGCCCTCGTCGGGCGCGGGCTCGGCCGCCGGCAGGGGCGGGTCGCCCCCCGCCGCGCGAAAGCCCCGCGGGCCCCCAGCGCCGCCCCCACCTCCCAGGCCTGGAGGAGGTCCGACCGCCGCCCCGCGCCGCCGCTCCTCGCTCGCGGCAGTGTCCCCAGCCTGCTCCAGCAGGCGCGACAGCTACCTCCCGCGTGGGAACGCCCCGAAGACGCAGGTCCCGTCGTCTCCAACTTCAGTCGGCGTCCGCCCCGCCTCCGTCTCCCACGCGATCTCCGCGATGTCCGAGCTCCGAAACGCCTGGAAGTCCTCGATGTAGACGTCCCCGTCCGGGGTCTGGATGACGAGCTCGCCCTGGAAGGACGGCAGGGGCGCCAAGATCAACCAGCTGCGTTATACCTCAACTAGGCCACGTCCAGCTCCAGCGCTGGCATCGTTCACGAGCGAACTCTGCGGCTGCCTCCGCACCGTCGCCTGCTTCACGCACAGCGCCGCTGACCAGCCCGCACTCACCACCGCCAGCCCGAGCAGGAGCCCCAGCAGGAAGCCCGCCGCCCCGCCCGCCTCGCAATGCGAACGCTCGCCCGCCGCCTCGCAAGCAGGGCAACCCGCCGCCGGCGGGCACTGCGTGGCGTGGCACGCCGGGCACTGCAAGTTGGGGCACGGCGGGGTCGCCCAGCAAAGAAACGTAGGGCAACTGAACACCGCAGCAGCCAACCGTAGGCCGCCTGAGAGGCCCCTTGCACCACAGTCAACAGCAGATCCGCTGCCATCCGCCACGCGCCAGAGGCGCGTTCAAGGCCTTGAGCCCGAACAAATACGGAGAGGAAAGATGCAAGCAAACGTCAAAAAGTTTGTGTGCAACCACGGCGTTTCGTCAACGTGCCCGCACAAATCTAGAACGATACCGCGGTGATCCACCAGTGTGTGTGTATATATATAGATTCCTCTCTCTCTCTCTGTCTCACTCTCTCTCCCTCTTTGCGTCTCTCCGTCCCTCTCTCGCACACACACACTTTCTGTGTGTGTCTCTCTCTCTCTCGTTCTCTCTCTCTCTCTCTCTCTCTCTCTTTTCTTTCTCTCTACGGATTCTCTCTACGGAAATAAAGGCGGCGAAGTCAAGGAGGATAAAGGAAGAGGTGGGAAGAGGTGAAAGGGGCCTCGAACACCCAAACCGTCAGAGTCCAGATGCGACACGCACTTGTATCTCAGACGTTGATCTGTTGGGATGATGGTTCACTCTTCTGTGGTGTCGTTTGGTTCATTCTTGTTGGTACAGTTTCTGACTGATCCCTTTGGAGAGAAAAACACAGAGAGATGGATGGAAAGAGAGAGAGAGAGGGGGGTGGAGGAGATCTCCCTTTGCGGTTGTATTGTATCGCATCCTATCTGGAGGGAGAGGGAGAGAAAGAGAGAGAGAGAGAGAAGTAGAGAGAGAAAGGGAGGGTTTATCATTGTTCCCTACTGCAGGAGAGATGGTAAAGGAAAGGGGAGGGTAAGCGAGGATGAGGAGTCAGTATGAGGTGGTGGAAGAGGGAGGAAAGACGCACGCTCTCTCTCCTTCTCTCCCTCTCCCTTTCCCTCTCTCAGTCTCTCCGTCCGTCCCACTCTCGCACTCTCTCTCTCTCTCTCTCTCTCTCTCTCTCTCTCTCTCACTATATATATATATCACTCTCTCTGTCTCTCTTTCTCTTTCTTTTCTTTCTCATGATGGGATCTGCGGGGGGGGGATAACATATTATAGGGATGCCCTACCCACGGCCCCTCCTCCAGCAGACCGGCAACTAGCTGCCTCAGCTGGGGATCCTCTGGCATGGACGCTCAACAATAATATAACAGTGTCGCGGGTAAGAAGATGGCCATGCAACGCATTTCAACACATGCAGCCCCACTCTCGAAAGCTCGTGCATTCGAGCGCGTAGGGCGAGCGTTCACATGCCACGCATCATCGCAAGTGTAAGTTTGCGAACGCGTGCAAGCATGGACGTGGTAGGAACTCATTGGACGAGATGGGGTGGGGTGGACGGAAGAGCGGGAGGGAAGAGAGGAGAGCCGTAGAAGGGCGGATGGAGGGAAGGGAGGGCGGAGGGAGGAGGGCACGGAGGGACGGTGAGAGGAGGACAGAGGGATGGGGTGGGACGCGATGCCACGGCATAGGATTGCCCGTGATGGAGTGGGACGTAATGGGTACTGTGCGACACTGAAAGGATGGACCATGCCTAGCACGACGCGTCTAGGGGTCATGGAGCCCCGCAGAGTGTATCATTCATGTCCTGGTCTGGCAACGCATCGCGTTGCAATCATGAGGCGTGGTGGGAGTGGGATGGAGCCCTGACGCCCCATCCGCACCCCCCGCACCCCATCCCCCGCTCACTACTCCTCCCTCTCTCCATCCCCCCTTCCTTTTCCCTCACCTCCTAGGAGAAGGAGTAATAGGCCATAGGCGGAGGAATGGAATGAGATGGGGGTCGGCAGTCTGGCGGCATCCAGCCCAACCAGTACATTGTTGCTGAGTTTGCCTGATGCTTTGGCGCTGTTGCAGCGTGCGTTTCAATTCAACACTGCGCTTAAATAGTCGTCCTCATTCACCTCAACCTCCGCATCCCCCCGACTCCTCCCTGGCCCATTCCCTCACCAGTCTTTCCCCCGCCGCCTCCTCAATTGATACTATCCGAAGTTCCTTCTCCTCCTCCTCCCCCTCCCACTCCGCCCCCCCCCCGTTCCCCATCCCCAATTACCCTCCATGTCCCTTCCCTCTCCTCCACATTCCCTCCCCGCCTCCATGCCCGTCTCTGTCTCCCTCCCCCTCGCCCCCTTTTCAAAATTAACAGTTGAACCTTAAACACAGTAGTACGCACACTGTCGCTCTCTCTCTCTCTCTCTCTCTCTATCGCTCTCTCTATCGCTCGCTCTCTCTCTCTCTCTCTCTCTCTCTCTCCTGACTCCTGACCCTGCCCGGGCAACATCTGGCCCTCTCCGCCCAATGTTATTGACACACCAAACTTGAAACAACTGTTGTCGCACGTGCTTTACCGTCCGATCGCGTCCCGTCCTTCAAAATAGTGTTCCCGCTGCAGTGCTGGCCTCATGCCCACACTTCTGGTCCTTCAAAATGGAGTTCCCGCTGCAGCGCTGGCCACATCTTAGGATCGGCGATTTGCTCCCGTCGTTCAGGATGGCGCTCTGGCCCTTGCGCGGACCAACTTTCTGGATCCGCGTGCTTCCTCATGGCCTCCTCGCTCCTTTCCCCTCTCCCCGCCTTCCTGCTGCTGGTGTTCCTCCTCGTCCTCCTTCTTTCTCATCCGCCTCCTCCTTCTTTCCATCCTGTGCATTGTTGTCCTTCTCATCCGCCACCGCCTTCTTCAATGTGCACAACTCCCCTCCTGGGATTGTGCATAACATGATGGAGTCATTTTGCATTTCCAGGTCGTCTATGACGGCGTCGGCGGATAGACGAAAAAGAAACGCGACGGGGAAGGGGTGGGTGGCCAGGGGTAGGATGTCAGGTATGGCGGCGCACCTAGCTTGCCTCTACCCGTTCTCCTCCCATACCTCCCTGCCGCGGCGCACGCAGGCCAGTACCGATGCCGTCCAGAGACGCACGCCTGTTCCCGCCGCTGCCTCGTCACTTCTCCCTCCTGGCCTCTCCCTGGTCGCTGTTCCCTCCTTCACAAATACTCAATATGAATACTACTCTCCCTCTTCCCCTGATGACGTCTTGGGAGTGTTCGCCCCCCCCTCCCCCCGCGTACTGTCTTTTTACACACGGGTTTCCCCGGAGCTGGGTTTTCGCCTGCATTTTTTCCCAAAATGCTGCTCTCGCTGAGGCGCCGGCCTCATTTTCGGGCCCCGCTCGTTCTGAATCGTGCTCCCGCTGCAGCGCTGGCATCATTTCCGCCGGCGCCCGGGCTGCACGCCCGAGCCGGCGCCCGGGCCGGCGCTCGGGCCGGGTCCGGAGCCGGTTCCGGCCGCCCCCGGAAAATGGAGTTCCGAGGCGGCGCCGAAAAAAAAGGCCATTCTAATACACATTTTTCTTTTGAAAATGCTCAATTTCTGCTTCCAGCGCCCAGGCCTCCGGAGGCCTCCCGGGCCGATTCCGACGCCCGGGCCGGCGCCCGAGCCGGCGCCCGGGCCGGACGCCCGAGCCGGCGCCCGGGCCGGCGCCCGGGCCGGGAGGGGTAGGATGTCAGATATGACGCGAGCGCACCTAGCTTGTCTTCCCCCCTCTCCTAACCTGCCTCCTCCGTGCTTGATTCTTCCACGTCCACATCCCCTCCTACCTTCACCCTCCCCTTCCCCCTCCGCCCCCCCGCGCGAGGGGGGATCAGGGAGGGGGACGTGAAGGACGTGACAGTGAACGACAGCGACCGTCGTGGCACAAACGAACAATACTGACTTACATCCTCCAACTTGGCCCTCTCTTTATCCTAGCCAGGTTCTGGCTCCGAGTGGGATCAACACATTAGGAGAGCCGATGCCGAGAGCCCGTAGTGGCTGTACGACCGCATCTACTGTAGAACATACGCATAGACCCCTCCAATACTGTAAGGCGAATGTCTCGCTCAGCACCTTCCCTCCCGTCACCCGCCTGACACAAAGCGGTGCGGTATCAGGGGGCGCCACGGCACACTCCGTCGGAACAGCGGCGAAAAAACGCCCAAGATTCACAAGCACACTGCGCTCTTACAATAAAGCTGATTGCCGGTCCTTCTGCAGTCGCTCTGGGGCTCTCTCATGGCCAACTCTCGAGCTTCTGAGCCGACCGGGGCAAGGGGCAGGCGGACGCAAACGCTTCAACGTTCAACGGATGGGCCTGTGTGGACTCAGCCAGAGCTCTACGCGCCCTGCGGCGAATCACGAAAGCCTCCGTCTGCCACGTCCGTGGCATGGGGGAGGGAGGCTGAGAAATAGGGACCATCCAGCAATCGCTCCACGGGCCGCTAGCTCATCCGCACATTCATTCCAGAAGAGGTCCTGCCAGGACCTGATATCCTCAGCCCGATACATGGGACGGGGTCCCACAAACCTAGATTGGGTCAGGGCCTCGAGCCTCGGACGCACGACCGACTTGGAAGCAGAGGCCAGTATTCGCACGCGAGAGCGACATGAGCGACAACGACCTATGCCGACCTCTGGCCTCAACCCCCTACCAGAGGTTTGTCACATATCACGTAGCGGAGCGGGCCCGCACTAACCTCCAGGGCCTCGGCGACAGCAGTGAGCTCTGCTCGGGAAACTGTCTGCTTACGATCCACCAAGCTGCACAACAGGCCCGCCACGGGGGTCCATTCACCGGCTTCCAGGGCGACAACTCCTGAGAGGGATAAGGGAGTGAAGGAGAGGGAAGAAGGAAGAACGGAGGAGGAGAAGGAGCAGGAAGGAAGAAGAGGAGGGAGGCGAGAGAGGGGGAAGGAAGGAGGACGAAGAGGAGGGAGGAGGAGAGGAGAGGAGCAGAAAACAAAGACGATGCCAACGCGCTGACGACGACCGGCTGCAGTCCTCCAGGTCCGGGAATCCGAGCTCCTCGCCCTCCATAGATTCCCGCAGCCGCGCGGCGGCCGCCCGCGAGGCCAGCCCCAGCAGCTCCTCTTGCGGGAGCCGACTCCCTCCCGCCGCCGCTGCCGCCCGCTCCACCGCTCCTCCTCCGCCCCCGCCGGGGAGTACCCTGCTGCTGCCAACCAGCCTCGAGCTCATCCCTGCCCCTAAGATCACCAAGCCCGAGACTGTGACAAACCCTGGGGGTGTGCCCATCAGACACTGGGGGGCTCTGTGGGATTAACACCGAGATAAGGTGATACCAAGCATATGGGGGCAAGGATATGCTGCAGGCTGGTAAGCTGCCGCTGATCTGCCTCGCGTTCCGCTCCTCTCTCCTTCCTCCAGAAAGAGGAAGGAGGAAGATGGAGGATAAGGACCGAGGAGGAGCAGCGGGAGGAGGAGCCATCCTCCTCGATGCCTCTATCCGATCCTCCTTGATCCTCGCCTCTTCTCCCCCGTTCTTCTTCTCTTGCCGCCGACGCCTCTCCCGCCGATGCCGCTGCTCCGCACTTCCAGGCACGTGGCCTCCACCACAGAGTCCCCCCAGGCGCAGCCGCGGGCGTCACGCACGGGGTAGCGCACGCACGGAACAATCAGCGGAGACTTCTTGGTCGCAGCGGTGTGGATCACACCGGGGCCGCGGACTGGCACACGGCCAACGGAGTCTCAAAGCTATGGCTGTGCCTGAACAGCGTGCGACCAACCCTACGGCATGCGCGTGTCGACGTTGGCGCTGGCTTCTCACACCGCGCGGATCGCTCAGCCCAGCGCGACTGCACCTTTCCGATAGCGCAGGTCCTCCGATATCGGCCGATTCTGGGCCGCTGGCAACGTTCAACCCGCGCTGAGGTCGCCGCCGTGTCGGCAAGACACGAACCTACCATGCAAAGGATTTGCCCTCGTCAGACTGGAAGCACACCACTCATGTGCTAAATGCTGCCAAAACCATCTCGGGCAACAGAACACATACCGCCACGATCCTTGCTACAATATGCATCTGGAAGCTACTAGAACATGTCCCGCTGTTTTCTGGTGATAGTATGCACTGTTCTACTGCTGTCTCGGAAATTTCTGGGCGATCCCGGATGGTTTCGGCTCTCAGGCGCTATTTTAAACTTTCGGGTGCTTTCAAGGCCGATGATGCCCCGCGTCCTCCTCCTCCTGCTCCTCCTCCTGCTCCTCCTCCTGTTCCTCCTGCTCCTCCTCTCCCTCCTCCTCCTCCTGCTCCTCCTCCTGCTTCTCCTCCTCCAGCGCCCAAGATCTTCTTCCTGCCCCCCACACTTCTCATCTAACTTCGCACATTGCGCCCCACCCCCAAAATGCGCGACGCGCGGTTATCTTCGCGCCATCGCGCCGCCACCTTGGAGTAGGGCAGCCGCTCTGGCCCAAACCGCGATGCGCGAAGCGCAGGTGCGCCCCTGCGGGTGACCTAGCTGCTGCTCCTTGCCCTCGTCTGCGTCCTCCTTGCTCCACGACGTCGTTAGGGCCATCCTCCTGCAGCTACCCGTCCTCGTCCTCGTCGGCGCCCCTGTTCCTGCTCGCCGCTTCGGCTTTTCTGCACTCCTCCTCGCGCGGCTGCTGCCGCCACCTACCGCCTGCCGCTGCTGCCACCACCGTTGCTGCCGCTGCTGCCCCTGCCGCCGCAGCCGCTGGCTGCTCTTGCTGCCCCTCCGGGCTCATCCCCCCGCCCCCTCGCCCTGCGCCTCCCGGCCCTCCTGCCCCTCCAAAGCTCTCAGCTTGCGCAGCGCTCGCACGGGTGGAGGGCAGACTCTTCAGCACGGGGCTATCGCTGGACTCTACCTTCGCCGTTATCACCATGCCTCTGTGCGCATCCTGAGATAAAAGTGGAAAGGACTACTGGAACACATGTAGGGACTTCTGAGGGGGGGACTTGGAATGGACGGGTGTATTGAAGCATCGTCCGGGCATTCTGGATTTAATCTGGTCCTCCTCCTCCGAAGAGGACGGAGAGCGGTAGGGGCACGCAATTACATCTAGGCGCCCAACGGTGACTGCGACCCAAATGGACTCGGGCAGCTGGCAAGGGGCACTAGCAAGTATAGAATGCAATTTGTCTGTCGCAGGTAAGACGCCCGGATGACTGGTCCCCGTCAAACACGCTGAGAATCAATGCATTTTTCGACTTCTTCTGCCTCTGGCCCATGCCATACAGCCCGATCTCCGTCGCAGTCTCAATCCCCAAGCTCGGCGGCAAATCTGCGAGCATCGCAGCTGACTGGAAATCGCACTCGCTCCATCGCCTCTTCTTTATTGCAAGCTCCTGCACCTTGGCCTCGTCGGTCGCCAGTGGCCGCAGGTTGTCGGGTCGCAGCAGCTTCTGGCTCCCGTCGCTGGGGAATAGAACAATGTACCGCCCCTTCTCCTCCACAAACCTCGGGGCACAACGCAGACCACAAAGGGTGAGCGTCTGCAGATAAGACATGGTTTCGCCCGTCTGGTTTCGCCTGCGGCTGGTTTCACCGAGGCTGGTTTCGCCGAAACTGATTTCGCCGACGGCTTGTTTCGCCAGGGCTGGTTTCGCCAGCGGCCAGTTTCGCCGTGGCTGGTTTCGGGCGGGTCGGGCGGGCAGGACCCTACCGGGCTGGTCGGGCGGCAGCCCAACTGACGGATCGGGCGGGCGGGATATCTTGCCAGCATACGAACGGGCAGGACCCTGACGGGCGGGTCGGGCGGGCGGGACCCGAACGCGCGGGTCGGCGAAACCAGCGGGGCGAAAGCAGCGGGCGGGTCGGCGAAACCAGCCCGGCGAAACCAGCCGTCGGGCAAACCAGGAGTCCCCTGCAAGAGCCACCAGAATTCCATGTAGAACTCGCAACGGAAGCCTCCGGATGCTTCGGATACTTCCAATTTTCCTTGAACTGGTTCGGCCCGACCTCCTCAGCCTCCTCTCCCCTCTCGGCCCACCTCAACCACCTCCTCCCTCATTCGGTCCCCTGGGGCCCTTTGTGTTTTGCGTTGTGGTCGTTCCTTCGGCTCTCTTCGGTTCCTCGCTCGCTCGTGGGACACGAGAAAATAAATTTGTTCTCTGGACCTGAATCTTCGGACCCTGTCCGATCCTGTCTCCGGACTTCTCGACCTCCTCATGTTCATGCTCCCTGGGGCCGCCTGGGGGTCCGAGATGGACCGTCATTGGTTCCAGCCGCTAGCGATGGGGAAAGGGGACCATGGACCATGGTTTGCAGAAGTCGGGCCTTTCTGCACCGCCGTCTCTGTCTGAGCATTGCACGCCGAGTTGGCCCTCCCTGCTCCGCCCTGGCCGTCCGACGTACACCCTCCAGCCGCTTCCGGCATGCTCCCGCTCCTGCCCCAGCTCCTCTTCTCTATTATCCCCGGCCGACGTGCCGAGGCCTCTGTCTGCACGCAGAGGCCCAGTACAGATCGGTCGGCACACGTCCAAACAACTCGCAATTTCTCGATCTTCGATCGTCGGAACTGCAGATTCCTCGATCCTTTCCGTAGTAGGAGGCAACTCCGGGGATGTCTTCGTAGAAGCGATGACAGGGTATCGAACCATCGAGCCCAAATAAATCGCATTCCGCCCAATAGTAACCTGGATTACACGGAACTCAACCAGACTGAACGGGATTTGTCCAAATCAAAACGCTTCCCGACCGCTGGTATACCAACGACGATGCTGAATTCAGCATCCCAGGAGTCACAATCGAATCTACGCTCGCCGTGCTACCATAAAGCTCGCGGAATAAGGAGCGAAAATGATTCCCTGGCCGCGGAGAGCCTCGGCCACGACTAGGGCCTAGGGTCCCCGACCTAGATCCGAAGAGCGGCCCCAAAAACAATAACCCCTCCCGAACCTCACATGAACTTTCTTTCAGCGTCTTGACTGCGGCCCTCCTGGATCCTCGATTCTCGTGCCTGGAGCCCTCCTCCAGCCGGAACCGAGCCGGCCAGAATCGACATCGAATCGGATCGATGGGACGGAAAGTCATCCAGGTTTGTCCGTCCTCGGTCCTCGTCTCTCTCAGGTCGGACGAAAGGGCTAGCGAAACAACTCTCGTGCCTGGTTTTCGCAGCACCCCCCAGCGCCCAGGGCGTCAGTGTATCCAGGATTGTGCCAGGCGGCATGGCCGAAGCCAGCTGCATGCAGCAGAGTTCCTACCCCCCCGCTTTCCTAATCCCCCCCCCTTTCCTAATCCCCCCCCTTTCCTGATCCCCCCCTTTCCTAATCCCCCCCTTTCCTATCCTCCCCCTCCCCTTTCCTAATCCCCCCCCCCCCCTTCGTCCGACCCGAACGCTTTCGTCCGACCCGACCCCGGCCCTCAGCCGCGTCGGGCGCGCCCTGCCCAGAATCTGTCGTTTCTTCAAGAAGAAGCGGACGCTGCCGCCAGCCTGGGCACGGCCCTCCCATGGCTGGGGGCGGCGGAGAGGAGGCCCAGCGGCACGGAGGAGGCTCCTTCTGGAGACGGAGGCAGGATGAGGACGAACCCGGGGGAGGACAAATCGAACAGGGTCGGACGAACGGGGGAAGGGGGAGCAAAAGGGGGAGTTAGCGAATCAGCTCACGTAGCTGGATCTCCTGGCGGACGATCAGACTTGCATGTACCGCAGCCGCATTGAGGCGTTTTCGTTTTGCGTCCGAGGACGGCGTCTCCATCATCGCCGGAGGACCTACACGCGACGCATTGGTTCGTTGATAACCGTTGTATTTTTGGACAGGGACCCCCGATTCCCGCGGTGACCCCCCGAGGCGCGCAACTGGCGCGCGCGAAGCGCTCGTGTTCTTTGACAGCGGCGGCCACGGGCGAGGCCGCTCTCGCGCACCAGGCAGCGCGCGTGGTCACCGCCGGCGACCTCGCCAATTTCGGTCTCGATCTCCGTCGGCGCCAGCCTCCGAGCAGCTGCTCCGCCCTCCACTCGGACATGGCAATCGCGATGAACTGCTCTCTCGCGGTCTCGTTGGTGCGGAACGCTGTCAGCGCGTAAATGTAGCCCTCGTTCTCCCCCAGCGTTTCTCAGAGCTCTTGGCCGGGCTCGCTGGCCCCGATGAGCTCTCCGCACTCGAAGATCTGTTTCGCCCATGGGGTGGTCGTTGCCGCCGAGGGTAGTTTTCCCACGCCTGGGCCCGTCCAGTCGAACATTTACACCATGGGCTCCTCGCGGGCCATCGCCGCGAACACCTCTGCCAGCTGCTGCATATGTCGGCCAGGGCTTTGCGCCGCTGGCTGCCGCTCGCGTAGGCGCGGTGCTCTGAACTCGGGGGTCGCAATGGCTGTCATTTCTGCAAACTTTATCTTCGTTCCTTCTGCCCCTTCTGTTCGTTTCGCCACTCCTCCGAGTGAGGGCCGCCCGTGCGTTGTGCGCTCGGCGTCTGGGCGGCCAACGCGCGCGCTGGCCAGGGCAAGGGCAGGGGCGCCCGAGGGCGCTGACCCCGCGATGATGCTGCGGAAGACACTGCGCTTGAGGGGTCACGACTTGCAGGCGCGCCAGAACTTCCCCATATGGACCAATCCTCTCCGCGCCGCCCGACACTTCGCAGATGCCCCCCCCCCGCCAGATTCCCGTCGCGTGGAAGACTGCCCCCTGGGAGGGGGGCGAGTGCGTGGCGAAGCCTGGGCCGTCGGCGCGCATCCGCTCGTGGAATGCCGCGCGGGCGTGCCTGCCACCTCCTGGCCCGACGAACCTGAGGGCCTCAGGGTTCTCTCCTTTTCGGCGGCGTTCTGTGCGATGCCGAGCTTGATCGGCCCCCTGTCGACACTCTAGCCGGTCCACTTGGCAAACTGTGTCATGTCGTCGGGGTGGACCGCGTCGCGCGTCTCGTTCGCGTCGTTGACGTGAACCATCGGCCCCGTGGAAACAGGGCCCCTCGCGCGCAGCTCGCGGGGCCTGGCATTGGTCCAATCGGCGATGGGGATCCGGAGGGCCTCCTGGTATAATGGCCGCGTTCGCGTCTCCCCGTGCCGCCCGACCTCGTTCTTGACTGGGGCCTCGTCGGGGGCGCCCTCCAGGGCGCGTCCGTCGCGGCGCCTCGTCAGGATGTTGCAGACGTCGCGCCTGTAGATTATTTCTGCCTCGTTTTACAAGGCCTCGTGGCTCACTGAGGCGAAGGCGTTCTGCGTGTTGCACTTCTCGTTGGCGCTCGAGCCTCAAGCTAAGCGCGGCCGTCACCCGCGTGGCTCCTGATTTCGGTCCCTCTGGCAGGTACCCGTAGTCGTAATGAATCGCAGTCTTGGCCCGCGTCGTTTCGATCGCGCACGGTCCGCGCAGGAGTCGCATCGCTGCAATTCTCGCATTGCTGTCGTGCTTCGGGGCTTGGCATCTGCATGGTCGGCTTCAGTCCGTGATGACTCGCCCCTGTGCTTACCAGCACTTCAATGACCCAATATCATTCAAGTCCACCTGCGAGTCTCGGAGGTGGTGCTCTCAGGCCCGCTGTCGTCGATGTCGGGGTAGGTATCTCTGTCAGCAGGAGCGCGAATACACCCGCTGGCGTCGACAATGCTAGTGCAGCGCTACTCAGTCCTCGTGCGATGCGGTCGCAGTCGTCGACGAGCTCTCGGAGGTCGCAGCTGGTGGGATGAAGGCGACTCTCGCTCGCTCGCGCCTCCGCCGCCAGCGTCCCGTAGTCCATCTCGGAGCAGAGCATCCCTTTGTTCTGTGGTGGTAAGGGGAAATATTCTCCCCACTCGGCCGCCGACGGCATGGCATCAGGTAGCTTGTTGTAGTTTCTTCTCTTTGCTCCGACTCTGCTGGTTGCCATCGCTCTTCGCGTTCTCCACTCATCCGATGCTTCTCCTCGCTGCGGCCGGCGCCTCGTGCAACTACTCGTTGAGATGTCGCTCTCGCTCATCATCGACCCTTCTCCTCAGTGTGTTGCATAGCCTGGTGGGTTTGTGTAATCGTAGTACGCTACGCATCTCGTCCGTCATCGCCGCAGTTGCTCTCATTCTGCCCTCAAGGGTCATCATCATCTCTGTCGCGACCTCCTGGTGCCTGGTCGGCATCGCTTTGTCGGTCGCCGCGAAGTTTTTACTGCCCGCTTCTGTCAATAGGACCACCAGCTGTCTCCATCCATCGTCCATGTCTGAGTTCTCTGCGAAATATGTGCCAACGTCTGCGCTCCTCGATGATTTGGTGAAGCTGTTGTTCGACCTCCTGTCTGTACGGGGAGGCTGCGTTCTCGGTGACCAGCGCACGCGCCAGGCTGAGGTAGGCCCACTTGTGGTCGTCGTCTTTCGCGTGGTGGTCCAAGTGCACTCTGATCTCGAATTAGAAGGCGATGTGGTCTGGAGGTTTCTTGTCAAGGATCGCCTGCAATTGTTTCTTGCTTGATACGCCTGCGTGAACCTGGAGACCGTGCCCACGCAACCGTTCAATGTCACAAATGCTCGATCCGGCTGGCCTGCTGCTTGTCGCCGAGGTAGCTGGGGCCGACAGGGTACACAGCACTCATGATCACCATCGTGTTGTTCCCGCACAACTGTCGTATAATTCTGCCTGTGTACTGTTTATCCGTGTTTCCGTAGTTCCCAATGGCCGTCGACTCGATGACATCCGTCGCGATGTAGTCCTACCCCGTGGCTGGCGTCCATGGCAATGATGGGCATCGTCCTCGCGGGGGTCGCTTTCAGCCCTTGGCGGGTCAGCCTCATTATCTTGTCGGTCGTGTTTTCGATGCGACCCCGTCTTCTGGGTCCCCTGGATCTTGGGAAGCGGAAGAAAGCGATGATGGTGATATCGAAGATCTGTCCTTTAAGGCGGGGTGCTGCGAACCGTCGTCGAAGCCCTGGCGTACCGCCCCATGTCCTTACGATGTTCTTTGGTATGATGATGTCCTTGCGCAGGCAGGGAAGTAATCTTGCAACACTAGTTGGACAACTCGAATTTGCCGATGTATCCAAAATAACCCGCCATGAAATTTGTTATGAGCATCACGCGGGCCTCGCCGCCGATCCACGCTGCTCGTTCGGAACAATTTAGAGCCACGTCCGCGTTCTTCAAATCCCCTGCTATCTCCAAGAATCGATCCTGAGGAGGAAGGAGATAGAAGGAAAGTTCAGCGGCCAACTGATAAGGGGAGCTCCCTGTAAATAAGGACTCTCCTGCGAGAAGCGCGGTGCCGAACCTTCAGACATTGGCGCTGCAACCGCTGCTCCTGAGTCGTACCGGCCATCCCCTGCGTTCCTCGGGACCCCCCTCCGTTACGGATCGTCATCTGTCACTTGTTTTAACCGCTGCCTTGTCTTAGTCTATCCCTCCAACCTCCCTTCTCGCGGATCGGCATCCCCTTCCCAACTGCACCCTTTGTGTCTCTATGTTGTCTTTTATGTGTTTTCCTCTCTCTCTCTCTCTCTTTCTCTCATTCCCTCCCCGCACCGATTCGTCCTGCAACCCCGACGAGACCTTAAGGCTCTCGCGGCGAGGCCGTTCAGCTGCGGAGCACCAGCAAGCCCGTGCACAATCACGATCTGGTTTTGCGCCAACCGCTCCTCGGCAGCCGCGCCGCCGCGCAGCTCGCATAATGATACGGACAACGTCTGCACAGACTGGCCCGACGTATATCAGCAGGCGAAGGGAGAGGGGAAGGGTTTTTGTTCTGATGTGGACCCCTGAGTCAGAACGATGGCATAACCTTCTAATCGTTAAAAAATTATATCAGAACAGCTTCATGTGGCCAAGTGGGCATGACTCCGTGCGCTGGCCTGCTCCCGAGCGGGTACCCGAGCTCTCAAGGCCTCCAGCTGGTCATTCTTGATGAGTGGGCGGGGCGTCTCGGGGGAGAGCGGGGCATCGGCCGATCCAGCATGAGGAGGAGAATGAAGACGTGGATGAACAAGATGAGAAACAAGCTGAGGACTGCCCGCGCGCGGCGCGAGAAAGTGCCCGTCTTCAACGGGAAGAATTTCCGGCAAAGAAGTGCCAATCGGCACAACAGCACCTTGGCGGCGCGCAGGAGGGGCGATGACTACGGTCAACTGCGGTCCCGCGGGGAGGGAGCTGATGAACCCAATCGCCGGAACGATGGATCCAACAACAACCGCGGCGCGTTAACCGATGCCTAAGCAGCGCGACCACACCGTCGCCCTCTCGAAAAGCACCGACTATACACCTGGCGCCCTCCAGGCGCTGGGACGAGACACCTGGCGCCCTCCGGGCGGACCTCTCCACCCGCACGCATAGTTCGCCGCTCGGCAGGACAACTCCTGACGAGGCGGAGCACGGGGAGACGCACAGGAGGTGCCCTCGCGATGCGGGGCTCCCCGAAAATCAAAAAAAACTCGGAGGACCCTCTCCGAGCGGATGCCTCGGCGGGCCCATGACCAGCTGGGCCTCCGCCCAGGCCCGTCCTGCTCTTCCATCCATGCTCCTTCTAAATAACTCATGCCTGTCGTACCCGCCGACGTGTCGGTAGGGCAGGCTGGGCGCTTCGCCTGAGACGTCTTCACCATTATCGATCCCGAAGCTTGAAAGTTGTCACAGCTTCACGGATGGAGGGCGGGTGGTTTTCAAAATGTGGCTCCCGCCTCAGCGCGGCGCACAAACGTCTTCCAAGTTTGCAACAGTTTCACGGATGGAGGGCGGGACGTTTCCCTAATGTGGCTCTCGCTGCAGCGACGCGCGCATTCGTCTGATAAGTTTTCAACAATTTCACGTATGTAGGGCCGGCAATTTTGAAAGTGTGGTTCTCGCAGTAGCGCCCCGCACATTCGCTTTCAAAGCTTGCAAGAATTTCGGCAAAGGAGGGCGGCTCCTTTTCAACATGCGGCTTTCCATTCAGCGCCGCGCGCATTCGTCTTAGAAGTTTGTACAAGTTACAACAGGCTCGTATGGCTGAAATCCTAGGCATGGTGTACTGGCGCGATGTAAGATTGTCACGACGCAACAGTAAATGTGTTTCGCTGTTTTGAAGTCCCACACATGGTGTCCTGGCACTGTGTAGGAGCAGTCCCAAGTACGGCGTTCTTGCACGATCTAAGGATGTCACGACGCAACAGTCACGTTGGTTCGAGGCTCTGATGTCCCAGCAATGGTGTTGTGGCACACGATTGAAGACTCTCACACCTTTGTCTTCCAGTGGGGCACTCCCCCCAATGAAAACAAATTCATGTGGTGAGCTGTGCAGGAGGAACTTGGAGGGAGGGTTTTATTGCAACATCGTTGATGCGTCTTGGGTTTACACTGGTCCTCGTGCTCGTCCTCGTCCTCGTCGTCGTCGTCCTCCTCCTCCTCCTCCTCCTCCTCCTCCTCCTCCTCCTCCTCCTCCTCCTCCTCCCCCCCCCATCCCTCCCCACCACCCGTCCTCCAACCCAGGATCTCTGGCTCGCTGGCGCGCAGCGCGCGGTCTTGGGCAGCGGCGTTGACTCGGCCGAGGGCTTGCACGCGGGGCGGCCACGAGAGCGGCGGGCGAAGGCCTGGGAGCGAGCCCCCCCCCCCTCCCCCTGCGCACACCTTGAAGCCGGCAGTGGGCTGGAAAGCTGCAGTGACCACGTGGCAGCGGGCGGTCGCCCCAACGAGAAGGCAGACCAGGGGTCGCCATCAGATCCCCTCGATCTCGCGGATTTGCACTTGGACGGATGGACGAGGAAGGGGGGGCGGCCGCGCACCTCAAGGCAAACACCTCAGTCACCGCGAGGAAGGATGGCGGCGACTGGGGTCGAGGTCATGTCTGCTCTGCTGTCCACAGGTTGCTGGAAAAACGGTTGGATAGGCACACAGTTTGAGGTTATTCGCTGTATGTGCGGATTTTTCGCCCCCCGCGACAATCCGCGTTTGTTGAGCCGCTGGCCCCCGGACCTGTGGCTTCTTTCCCAGCGCTGTTTTCTCCTCCCACTTTTTACTTCCCTGGAGTGGCTTGTGATCCCGAGTCGTTGTCCAACGGACCTGAATTCTGCAAACGGCCCTCGGACACAGACAATTTGGAAGAGCCGTCATGAGGAGAAGAACGACGAGGAAGGGAGGAGGACGAGGAGGGAGGAGGATAACAAGGATATGGCAGGAGAGGAGGGAGCAAAGGGAGGAGAGGACGTGCGCAAGTCGGGAGACGAGGAGGGGTCGTCTTGGGACCACCTTGGGCCAGTCTTGCGGTTCCCTGGGCCAGTCCTGGAAGCTCCCCCTGAGCTTTCGTTGGGCTCCCTGGGCGCCGTCTTAGGGCCCTTGGCGTCTGGGGGCCGTCTCAAAGATGAGAATGCAACGCAGTGAGGTCGGAAAAGGAGGGGAAGAGGAGGACGAGCAGCAGCAGGAGGACGTACTGCATTGTTGGAGGCGGTTCGGGACATTGTTGATGGACTTTTTGGAAGGTGCTTGAGGCATTTCAGAGCCCCCCGAGGGTTTCTTGGAGGCCTCTGAGGGCCCATGATGGGCAGTATTGGGGGTTTGTCGGAGACCTCGGGGGCGTCTTGGAGGCCGCGTGCATCGTCCTAGGGCCATCTTGGGCAGTCTTACTGTCCCTTGGGGCCTTCTTGGAAACCCCCTCTAGGCGTTCGTGAAGCTTCCTGAGCGCCGTCTTGGAGCATGCTTTTGCCCCTGGCGGCCCTCTTAGGGCTCTTCTGGGGCCCTCTTGGGAGCGTGTCGGGTCGTGGTGTGGCCATCCAGTGGCCATGTGGGACCGTCCTCGGGCTCTGTTCTTTATCTTGTGAGTCGCGGCGAAGCCTCTGGGGCCTCCGCGGCGTCCAGAAGAGTGCCGGCGGCTAGCCGGGGAGGCCCGGGTAGCCGTCGGAAAGGTGCCTCGAAGCGGGGGGGGGGGGCGTCCGAAAAGGGTCCTGGCACTTTCAGGGGGGGGGAGGGGGGGCATCCAGTGGGGTCCATGCAGGATGCGCAACCACTGGAACACAGGAGAAAATGCATACATAACTATGTATACAAGTTCTGCTCACAGCCCGCGGGGGGAAGAAAACTGCTCGACGGCTTGGCTCCTGGCCTCCTGATATTCTCCTCCACCACCACCACCCCTCATTTCCCAACCTGCTCGTCGACAAGGCGTCCAGCGACATGGTGGTGGGCCCCGCCGGCGCGTTGGTCGGCGTGGCCTGGGGTCGTCGTCATTGATTTCGCGGTCGGGGGGTCTCCTCAGGTGGAGCCCAAGCCCCCCGCGGTCGCGTGGCCGTGGGCCGCATGAACTGGGCGGCGAGACCCGTCGCCATGTGCAGAACGATCTCTCTCTCTCTCTCTCTCTCTTTCTGTCTCCAAGTCTCGGCTCAAGGCACAGGGGTGCCTGCGAGCCTTTGACGTAGCCTTCCCGATGCAAGACCGCTCCCTCCCCCCCAGGTGCGCAACTGATACGTCTACCCCTGATTCCCCGCCAGCGCGCGCAATGGCACCGCCTCGCAAGCACCGCCGCGTGGATGCTCAGCACCCAAAACATCGACGCACAGCGCCCGAACCCGAGAGTAAGCTCGCGCGAAAAGACGCATGCGTCGAGGCTCTCCGCCAAGGCGGAGGCGACCGTCCAGTGCCCGCCTACAACGAGCTTGCTCAGAAAGCTGGCGACGCACTGGAGCTGGTCTGGATCACCCACCGTGGTTCTCCAGAAGACCTCCGACGCGTACTCTATCGCCCATGCGCCACCCACAAGGTCTCCTGGACCCGCATCCACTACGAGCGTACCCGCGCCAAAAAAAACAACGGGCAATGAGGCTCAGCCTCCACCGCCCAAGGCCCAGGTCGTCACCCTTTGCTACCCCCTGTGCCTGAGCCACTGGGGCGCCCCAGTCTCCAAGGCTCCCGAACCGGCAGTAGACACGGACACGGGTACGACCACGTACAAGAGCTCAGTCTCTCTGTACACGGCTCAGTATGCACCAGCCGTCCTGACTACGTTCCAACGCCACAACGAGCCCCTCGCCGCGGTCGTCGTTGGGCCCAAAGACCTAAAAGTTCAGAGAACACGAGTGCAAGATCCCCTTTGTACGGCGGACCCCACAATCCACTCGACCGCAACCCGCCCACCCTGGTGCTACCATCTACCAGTTCGGCCGTGCCGAGGTTCAATGCACCCAGAACGCCATGGACTCGGAGCTCGACCCAGCGTTGCAAGTTACGTGGGTCCGCGACACCATCTGGGAAGACGAAGCCATTGCCGCCACCGACGGAGCCCTCACAGAATTGTTCACCCAAAAGTTCGCAGGAGGCGCCCCAGTCAAAAGCAAGCGCAAGCCTGGCTCAGGCGACGGCTCTGCTCAGCAACGAGCCACGCAACAGCGCCACCGAGCCAGAGCCAACCCGAGGAAGCTAGCACTCGACGCAGGGCTCCTACAAGGCTTTGACGACCTGCGGGGGCAACTTCTCCCGCGCGCGGCCTTCGCCCTGCGCCGCCACAGGGCGCAGGCGGGCAGGCGCAGCTTGTTGGCCACCTTCGGCATCGAGCCAGCCCATGTCAATGAAGTGCTCAGCGCGTCTGGCCAACAAGAGGCGACCTTCGACATCTCCCGTCGCCGAGGAACCCCGCCGCCACTTCATCTGGCACCCAGGCCCTGGGCTAGACCTCGCCACG